AGCATGGGGGGAATAGAGAGCAGACTCGTGGTGCTGCGTGGGGTATGCACGTGATGCACCCTGCACGCCATGGTTCCGCTGCTGCTGCTGCTGCTGCTGCTGCTGCACCCTCTGCTCTCCCTGCTGCACCTTGTGTGCTGCTGAACCTGGCGCCAGGCATGGGCGACCTACTCCCTCGTGCAGGTGAGAGATCCTGAACGGAGCCTGTACCATCATTGCTCCATTCGTCATGCCCCACCCATGGTCGCCCTCCACCCCCGCCTGCCTCCACAGCCACCACAAATGCAATACATTCTTTTCCCGTTATTTCTTTTCTTAGTTCTTCTCCCTCCTAACACGTCTCGCCCGCCAGGTGCCTCGTACTGGCACCCCCTGCTGCCCCGTGCCATTGACTCCATAGAGCTCTCGTCCAAGGGCTGCGCAGCAGCGGGCTTGGAGTCGACACAGCCATGTGCCGCTGCCGCTGCTGCTGCCCAGTGCATGGCGCTGTGCTCTGCGCTCTCGTCCCACCTCCTCGCTGCTGCTGCCTCGTCTGCTTCCACCGACCCGCTCTGGCACCTGGTAACACTCCCAAACTCTCCATGTGCCATGCTCAACTCTCACACGCCGTATGCTGCTGTGCTCTGTGCTCTGGCACCATGCGTGTCATTCCACTTTCTATAGACATCTTTTTGGTTCCCAAATCTGCTAACCCATCGTTGAACACCCGCGTTGTGCGTCTTTCCGCACCCAAATGTTTCATTTCAGGTGCTCAAAGTGGCTCTACTTTCACCCTCCCCCTCGCTCTCTCCTCTCCTTCCCGCCGCCCCTCTCACTGCCCTGCTCTACCACCCGCACTCACTGCCTCCGCCATCGGCTGTATCCTCTCCCCGCGTGGCCTCTCCCCACCATCACCAACAGCAGCAGCAGCACAACAAGGATCTGAGCCTGGTGCACTGTGCAGCGACGGGTGGTGCCATAAGTGACATGGACGTGGGGGTGTGGCCAGGGCAAAAGGCTAGTGAAGGGGCAAGGGTGGGGGAGAGCACACACGGGAAGGCGAGCATGGAAGGAGGGCAAAGGGCAGAGGGGAAGGCAGAGGGGAAGGCAGAGGGGAAGGTAGTGGACGGCAGTGCACACGAGTCAACAGCACCTGCAGCCCTGGAGGATGGAGCGTGGATGTCTTCCAGAGTGGCGCTTTTGCAGCCCCGATCTGTAAGTGCTTCTCCGCCTCTTCTTAAGCTTTCTGCCTTGTTTCCCCTTATCTTTATTTTCTTGTGTTCCCAGATCTCCACCTCTGTCCTCTTCTGTCCCGAATCCCGACCTGTCAGCCCTGTGTGTGTGTTCTTCTCTCCCTCTCTCCCTTCGTCCGCTCCCTCAGCTCGCAGATGTGCTCGATGCTGTGGACGCACTACCCACATTCACATTGGAGCAACACTCCCAAGCACCCACTGCTGCCGCTGCTCCCTCTGCTGCGCTGAGAGCGCGCATTCGATCAGTGGCAGCAGCAGTGGCGGGGCAGCCGTGTGTGCGTGTGGCAGTGCTCATGCTCCACCTGCCGCCTGTGTGCCTTCCGCAGCCTGCCTGCCTCACTGCACAGTCTAACACACAGCTTCTTACACAAGAGTCTATCACACAGCCTGTAACAGAGTCTGCAGCACAGCCTGCTCTCATGGTACCCGGGCTGTGGGTGCCAGACATGCTGGCGCTGGTGGGGGGCAGCTGTGTTGTGCCGCAGGAGACAGGGGAGAGCGCATGTGCAGTCCCATGGCAGGATGTGCTGGACAGTGCTCCTGATGCGCTGCTGCTGCTCATGCCTCACAACTACCCTCCGACCGGCAAGGTGTGTTGGTGGTTGGGGGGGGAGGGAGGGAGTCAGTAGGGTGTGTCTGTTGACCTCTGCATGTTAATTGGTAGGTCACATGGTTCGTCAGACAGAAGTGAGCAGAGGTTTTGGGTTAAGGTTTTAGGTTTCGTGTTTAGGGCATCTGAGCATGTGAGCTGATCTTTCTGTGTCTGCTTGTCGTGGTGTCCTGCTGCCCCCTGCTGGCCTTCCTTACACACTTGCAGGTGAACCTGTTTGCCAGTCTACCTGGTCTAGAGACCCTGCCAGCAGCCAGCAAGGGAATGCTGTTTGCGTGCCACCATGCGCTCTTCACATCCCCCGGCCCTTCTCTCGTGGATGGGCTTGAGCTGCTGGCGCATGTGCTGCACCCCACACGTGTGCTGTACCACGGCTCGTCCGCACTGCATCGGCTCCATGCTTCTCAGTAACTGTTGACTATTGACACACGACTCCACTGACACACGGGGACAATGCCCGCTCGACACGTGCTTACCAGAGCAGGAATTCAACTAACCTCCGACAGGCGAGGGCAGGGATGGGATGGGAGCTTGACCTTGAATGACTCTGGTTGGTTTTGGTTCCGATGCTTGTTTAGCCAGCCAAGTGCAAATTATGTATCCAAAGGGTGCCATAAGTTCAAATGAGTTCGGACGTGGATTAAAATCTTGAGCTAGGGAAACCTGTGATGTCAAGCCCTGATATTTGTAGGCAGGCCAAGTTTCGAACATGAACTCGGTTCTAAATTTGTAGAGCTGTTTCTTGAACTGCAGTGTACCGGCATTATTACACCTGATCCCCTTCCCCTCGGTACTCTCTCCTCCTCACCCTGCTCTTGCTTCTGCTACTCACTCTCGCCGCTTCACTCTTCGCCTCCTCCCATCTAGCTTGATCCCACCATCCCATCCATCCACACGCGAACCACTCCACACCACACCAACACCTACTTTCCTTCCGCCACACGCCGTCCCTCCTCCATGTCCGCCTAGGTTCTCCCACTAATCTAACCCTGGGGCTAGTGCCCTAATCTGCTCTGGCATTTTTCCCGCTTCGCTTCCGCCTCCGCCTTCCTTCACCATCCGCCGGTCTCTAGTACCTACCGCCATGCACAACGCCACGCGCGCGGCGCTTAGGAGCCTCGCGTCCTCCACCTCATCCGCATCATCATCCCGAGGCCCCTCCCGCCATGTCGCCGCCGCCACCACCTCCCGCCTCCTCTCCTCCTCCGCTCCCCCCGCATCCGGCCCCGCGCCACCCGCTTCCGCACCGCCTCCGCCCCCGCCTCCCCCGGAAAGAACCGTGTTCGGCGGGCTTTCCGACTCGGATCGCATCTTCACGAATCTGTACGGGCTGCACGATCCGTTCATCAAGGGCGCGATGCAGCGCGGCGACTGGCACCGCACCAAGGACCTCGTCGCGAAGGGCACCGACTGGATCGTCAACGAGATGAAGAAATCCGGCCTGCGCGGGCGCGGCGGCGCGGGGTTCCCGTCCGGCCTTAAATGGTCCTTTATGCCCAAGGTTAACCCCGACGGCCGCCCGTCGTACCTGGTGGTGAACGCGGACGAGAGCGAGCCGGGCACGTGCAAGGATCGCGAGATCATGCGGCACGACCCGCATAAGCTCATCGAGGGGTGCCTGATCGCGGGCGTGGGCATGCGCGCGCGCTACGGGTACATCTACATCCGCGGGGAGTACGTCAACGAGCGCAAGTCCGTCGAGCGCGCGGTCGCGGAGGCGTACGCCAAGGGCTTCCTGGGGCGCAACGCGTGCGGCAGCGGGTACGACTTCGACCTGTACGTGCACCACGGCGCGGGCGCGTACATCTGCGGGGAGGAGACGGCTCTCCTCGAGTCTCTCGAGGGCAAGCAGGGCAAGCCGCGCCTCAAGCCGCCGTTCCCGGCGAACGCGGGGCTGTACGGGTGCCCGACGACGGTGACGAATGTGGAAACCGTCGCGGTTTCGCCGACGATCCTGCGACGCGGGCCGGAGTGGTTCGCGTCGTTCGGGCGCAAGAACAACAGCGGCACGAAGCTGTTCTGCATCTCGGGCCACGTGAACAAGCCGTGCACAGTGGAGGAAGAGATGAGCATCCCGCTGAAAGAACTCATTGAGCGGCACGCGGGCGGCGTGCGCGGCGGGTGGGACAACCTCCTCGCGATCATCCCCGGCGGGTCGTCCGTGCCCATGCTCCCGAAGCCCATCTGCGACGACGTCCTCATGGATTTCGACTCGCTCAAGGCGGTGCAGTCGGGGCTGGGCACCGCGGCGGTGATTGTGATGGATAAGAGCACGGATGTAGTGGACGCGATCGCGCGGCTGTCGTACTTCTACAAACACGAGAGCTGCGGGCAGTGCACGCCGTGCAGGGAGGGCACGCCGTGGCTGTGGCAGCTGCTGGAGCGGATGAAGGTGGGGGATGCGCTGATGGAGGAGATCGACATGCTGCAGGAGATCACCAAGCAGATCGAGGGCCATACTATCTGCGCGCTCGGAGATGCCGCCGCGTGGCCCGTGCAGGGGCTGCTGCGCCACTTCCGCCCTGAGATCGAGCGCCGCATTGAGGAGCGCGCTGCTGCTGCTGCGGCGGCTGCCGCCGTCAATGCTGCTGCTGCTGGTGAGTGGGTGGGTGGGGCATGGTGGGGTGGGGGAAGAGCGATAAGAGAGGGGGAAGGGGGGGTTCAAGGTGGATATACAGGTGTGGAACGTATAGGTGCGTTGGCGTGGACTAGGGCAGGGAATGGCAGGGCGGGGCAGGGCGTAAGGTGGGAGGGATGCTGCCACTAAGGATGGGGGAGGTTGTGGAAGGTGGGGAATTTTGGACGGATGTGTGTTTTTTGAAGGCGGATTTAAGTGCATGATGGAGGGGGAAGGGGGGGATTCTATGACAAGCCATGAGAGGGTAGGCGCATGTCAGGTTGTGTACTGCGTTTACTGCCAATGTACCATGAGTGCATATCACTCGATGGCCGCTGCAGCCTCTGCAAGTTGCATTTTCCTGATTTGCCCTGTGTATGGCGCCATCGCATCTGCAACTTGACATTCACACTGTGCTCACTGCTCATTTACATGTACGGCTGCGGCTCAAGCGTCATTCCCACCACGCCCAGTGCACTGGACTTCCCGCATCCCTCTACCACCCGTTTCCTATCGACACCACTCCCGTGCCTCGTTTCTATCCTCATATTTCCATTCTTTCTCTGTTGTGCCCCCACCTTTGTTTCTCCCCTGTTCATTCTGATGCTTCCAGAGGTGCCGGAGCAGATGGCCAGTGCAGGCATGTGAGCGCTCACCTCACTGCACCGCACTGCACTTCATAGAGCTTCTACCAGCCTCGCTGCTTGGCGACATGCTGATGCCATCTCTGCCGCACACCCGGCCATATGCATGTATTCCCAAAAGGCCCTCTTTTAACGCTGCTCAGGGCAAGTGCCAGCTTTGATGGGGAGAGTGGCATTCCACTCTACCATGATTGTAACTTGTAGTAGACTCAGTAGACCAGACCAGCCTTTTCACCCTGTCCCTCTGCTCAGCACAGCACATCCCTCCTGACTGCTCTTGGTGTCGTTTGCACCCATCTCATGCATCCATAGCTTGTCAGGTACTGTCAATGACGAGTCCATGTGGACGATACGGTAATAGCATGTTAAGACGAAAGGTCAAATTAGTGAAGGCGGGTCCAACTTGAGAAGGCCCAGCCCAGGCATCCGTTTTTGCAACAAAACTGCGACGGGGGAGAGGGCACACTGTTGAGAAATACAAGCAGTGGAAACTGGGCAAGAAGATGCAGTTACCTGATTGGTTGGCGGGGAAAACATGACGTACGGTGGGGAAAATGGCTCGGGCAATTTCACAAACAGTGCGCCGCGTGTCGCCCAGCCCCCATTGCTTGTAAGCTGCACCAAGTGGGCCCTGTCAAACATATTTGTATATGTTATAATTGAAATAAATCGTCTGGTGTTGTAGGAGACTAAGTATAGAATCTACAAACACAAGTACTTAACCAAGGATCTTTGCTGGAATGGTAGACTAGTAAGACAGCGGAAGTCTTATCAGAGTGAACCTGAGCACATGAACTTGTGGGTAGTCGAAGGTTGAATAACCTGAGCACATAATTCTGTGGAAAGTCAAGGTTAATAATAGCATTACAAGGATTTATAGCTCTAGGAAAAGTACCTGTTCACTAATGTACCTGTTTGTCACTATCGCGCTATGCGACCTATTCGTCATACTATAGGGTCGCGACTGTTCGCGTGACTGAAACGGTTCGTTACGCCTAATCGCGTAACTGAAGCGGTATGCTGACATCATGCCGAGACCCCCGATGCTTTGCTGACATTAGCACTCGGGCATGGTTACTTGCAGAGAAACTCGATACTGCTAACTACACTGAAAACGGAACTTGCAGGAATGCGAAACTTCATTTACCACAACACTCCCCTTCATTCCTGGAAGTTCGAAGTAGTCACGTCGTGATTGGAGTTCGGCGAATGAAATCTTAAATTTGGAATCTTGTGACGTGTAAACTTCATGTGCTGTAAGTAGTCGGCGGTCATTCCATTGGTCAAATGGTAGACCAATCGCGTGCTTCCCTTGTTGATGACGAATTCTGGCTTTGACGAAGTGCGTGTAGATCCTCCTGTCAAACATGTGTATTTGATATGTTTGCATAGACTGTATAGGGTCACCTCTTAAAGGTATATCTATCTGTACTCTCCCTCTACCTAATCATTCACTTCTCTCAGTTTGATATGGTATCACGCGTAGGTTAGGATCCCCCCACCTACCGCTTCCGCTCGTCCCCTAGCTAGGCCCCGCCGTGCCTCCCCCCTAGCCCCGTCGCGACCCACTGGGCCCCGTCGTGCCCCTAGCCCTGCCGCGCCCCTCCTGGGCCCCGTTGTGACCCCCTAGTCCCAGTCGCGACCCCCTGGGCCCCGTCGCGACCCCCGAGCCCCGTCGCGACCTCCTAGCCCCGTTGCGACCCTCCCGGGCCTTGCTGCGCCCCTCGCCCCGTAGTGCCCCTCCTGGGCCCCGTAGCGCCCCTCCTGGGCCCCGTCGCGCCCCTCCTGGGCCCCGTAGTGCCCCTCCTGGGCCCCGTAACGCCCCTCCTGGGCCCCGTAGCGCCCCTCCTGGGCCCCGTCGCGCCCCTCCTGGGCCCCGTAGTGCCCCTCCTGGACCCCGTCGCGCCCCTCCTGGGCCCCTCCTGGGCCCTGTAGTGCCCCTCCTGGGCCCCGTAGCGCCCCTCCTGGGCCCCTCCTGGGCCCCGTAGTGCCCCTCCTGGGCCCCGTAGTGCCCCTCCTGGGCCCCGTAACGCCCCTCCTGGGCCCCGTAGCGCCCTTCCTGGGCCCCGTCAAGCCTTCAGGCCCCGTCGCGCCCTGCCCGGCCCCGTCGCACCCGCCCGGCCCCGTCGCACCCTGCCCGCCCCATCGCACCCGCCCGGTCCCGTCGCACCCGTCCGGCCCCGTTGCGGCCCTCCTGGGCCCCGTAGTGCCCCTCCTGGGCCACCGTCACGCCTGCCGGCCCCGTCGCACCCGCCCAGCCCCGTCGCACCGGCCCGCCCCCGTCGCACCCGCCTGGCCCCGTCGCACCCGCCCGGCCCCGTCGCGCCCGCCCAGCCCCGTCGCACCCGCCCGGCCCCGTTGCACCGGCCCGGCCCCGTCGCACCCGCCCGGCCCCGTTGCGCCCTGCCCGGCCCCGCCGCGTTTGCCGGGCCCCGCTGCACCGGCCCGACCCCTGCGCTCATCCCTGCCCCGGCCCCTTCACTGGTACGATTCCCCCCCCCCCCCCCCCCTCCCTGCACCGCCCTGCTCCGCACTGCACTGCCCTGCACCGCACTGCACCGCCCCGCACCGCACTGCACTGCCCTGCCCCGCACTGCACTGCCCTGCACTGCTCTGCTTTGCACTGCACTTCCCTGCACCATACTGTCCCGTCCTGCACTGCCCCTGATGGCGGCGGAGCTTCGCTTCGACGCTGAAGGCCAGCCTCTGGAGTTCGAGGCGTGGCTTGCCGACCTCCGGCGCCAACTCACTGGCCAGCGGCAGGATGGGGAACCGCTTTCCGCACACCTTGACGGTACGCTCCCCTGCCCAGACCCCCCTGCTATTCTGCCCGCTGACTCCACACCCACTGAGCGCGAGTCTACTGCTGCCACTGCCCGTGCGCGCTCTGTCTAACTTTCTCGCGATGCTGTCGCCCAGCTTGCCATTAGCAACGCCCTTCCCCCGTCCGAGCGCCCTCGCTTTAGGTCCCTCACTACTGCTCAGGCATAAGTAGATGCTGTCATCAAGCGCTATTCCACCCCTCCGGCTGCCTCGGTGGGTCGCCTGATCCTCCCGATGCTCTTTCCTGACCTTCCATCTTTCCCCACTGTCTCTGACCTCGCTGCCCACCTGCGCTCGATAGATGAGACCTGGCGCGCTGCCTGCACTGACGCACAGCTTAGAGCCCACCAGCCGCCCATTACCTCTACCCTTTACCTGCTTGCCACCCGCCTCCCTGACCGCCTTGCTGTCGCCCGCGACCGCTTTCTTAGCATTCACCCCGCAGACCTCACCCTCACTGACTTTGTAGACACCCTGACTCTGATTGAGACCCGCCACCGCTCCATCGCCCAGGCGAGCGGTACCGTGCCGGTCCCTATCTTTCAGGGTTGTGCCCCTGCTCAGTGTACCTTCTCCGACGGCTCTGCCGCAGTGGCTGAGACTGCTGCTGCAGCGCAGTTTCGTTCGGGGAAGGGCCGCCGCCCCAAGGTTGGGCGCGGCGGAGGAGGCGGGGGTGCGGGAGGGGGTGGTGGTGGAGTCGGGTCGTCTGGTGCTGGAGCGGACGAGGGGACCCTGCCCAGTCCAGCTGAGCCGCCGCCCCTGCAGTTGCAGTAGCCGCAGCAGCCGCAGCAGCCGCCGCAGTCGCAGCCTTCGCAGCAGCCGCAGCAGCCGTCGCAGACGCGGCAGACGAGTGTCCTCCCGCCCGGGTGGCCCGGCGCTGGCGGTGGCCGGGCGCGTGGTGGTGTGCCGAGTGGTGGCTCTGGAGGCGTGCGTTGTCAGTACCAGATCCAGACCGGTCCTCGCCGCGGCTTCGTTTGCGGTAAGATCGGTCACTCCACTCCCCGCTGTTTTCGTCGCCTGGACGACCTCTTTCGTCAGCGCTTCGGCCCGTCGCCAGACCTCCCGGACTGGCACAGTTTGCTTAGTCGTTAGATTCAGATTTTTGACATGGACATGGATGCCATTGTTTCTGCTCTGCATGTGATGTATGCTCATGACTCTAGTGTGCTTCCCGCTTATTACTCACTGTCGGCTAGTGTAGGTGTGCCTAGCTTAGCCTCCCTTGCTGCGTCAGGCGTAGGATCCCCTGCTTTGTGTAGTCTTGGTGCTTCCGCTGTCGTTCCGTCACCAGACGCCTCTGCTTCGCTTTCCTTCACCTTGGACTCTGGCGCTTCCCGGTGTTTCTTCCGCGACTTCAGCACCCTGACGCCGCTTCCTGTTCCTGCTGCCGTTTCTCTTGCTGACCCCTCCGGCGGTCCGGTAGTCGCCCGCAGTTCCACCACCCTTCCCTGTCCGGCGGTTCCTTCGGGCACTCTCACAGGTCTGCATATCCCCTCGTTCTCCAGGAACCTAGTTGGTGTCGGCTGCCTCCAGGACCTTGGCGTCACCACTACGTTCCCTGGTCACGAGCGGTATGCTGTCTGTACCGAGGCCGCCACTGGTGCCCCCCTGTCCACGTTCCCCCGGGACCCGATGTCCGTCCTGTTCACTCTGGAGACCGTGACCCCCCCGGCTGGAGCGCTCACCCAGGTTGCTGCTGCCTGCTCCTGTCGGTCCCTCACTCACCCGACTCTCCTTTGGTACCACCGCCTAGGTCACCCTGCGCTCCCGCGTCTACATCACATGTCCCAGCACGGTCTTGTCCTTGGTCTCCCAGGTTCTTTCCCCGCGTTTCCCTCCTCCCCAGCCCCACCTTGCACGCCTTGTGTCGAGGGTCGGCTTCGCCGTGCCCCTCACTCCTCCTCGTTTCCCCCTACCGCCGCGCCGCTGCAGACCCTGCACATGGACGTCTGGGGCCCCGCCCCCGTCCATGGGCCGCGTTGAGAGCGCTACTTCCTTGTGCTTGTCGACGACTTCACTCGCTACACCACGGTGTTTCCCCTGGAGCGGAAGGCCGAAATGCCTGACGCTCTCATCCCCTGGCTTGTCTCTGCCCGTGTCCACCGCGGTCTCCCTGTCTTGCGTCTTCACTCCAACCGTGGTGGCGAGTTTGCCTCAGGTGTCCTTGGCCGCTTCTGTCGTGCGGAGGGCATCACCGAGACGTTCACCCTGCCGGACTCCCCACAGCAGAATGGGGTTGCTGAGCGACGCATCGGTTCGATCATGAAGGTGGCTCGCACCTCCATGATCCATGCCGGTGCACCCCATTTTCTGTGGCCGTTCGCCGTTCGCCGTTCGAATACGCCGCTCACCAGCTTAACCTGTGGCCGCACCCCCAGCGGCCGCAGGTTTCGCCGACCCTTCTTTGGACCGGGACCCTGCACCTGGACGTTTGGGGCCCCGCCCCTGTCCCTGGGCCGCGTCGAGAGCGCTACTTCCTTGTGCTTGTCGACGACTTCACTCGTTACACCACAATCTTTCACCTGGAGCGCAAGGCCGACGTGCCTTGCGCTCTCATCCCCTGGCTTGTCTCTGCGCGTGTCCACCGCGGTCTCCCTGTCTTGCGTCTTCACTCCGACCATGGTGGCGAGTTTGCCTCAGGTGTCCTTGGTCGCTTTTGTACAGCGGAGGGCATCACCCAAACGTTCACCCTACCGGACTCCCCACAGCAGAATGGGGTCGCTGAGCGACGCATCAGTTTGGTCATGGAGGTGGCTCGCACCTCCACGATCCATGCCAGTGCACCCCATTTTCTGTGGCCGTTCACTGTGCGCTACGCTTCTCACCAGCTTAACTTGTGGCCGCACCCTCAGCAGCCGCAGGTTTCGCCGACCCGTCTTTGGACTGGGTCTCCTGATGACGCGTCTGCGTTCCACGTCTGGGGCTGCCTTGCTCACGTCCGTGCCTCCGGCACGGACAAGCTCATTGCCCGCACCCTTCCCTGCGTCTTCCTCGGCTTTCCCCTTGACGCGTCCGACTGGCACTTTTACCACCCGCCGTCTCACCGCTTCTTTCACTCTCGCGACGTCACATTTGACGAGTCCGTCTCCTACTACCGTCGCTTCCCCCACCGCGGTCCCCCGGTTACCCCCCCCCTGTTCCTGGTCACTCCTTCCCCGGTAGTCCCTGCCCCTCCTCCTCCTCCTCCCCGTCCTGCCCCCTCTGGTGTGTCCCACGTCACCCCCCTTCCGTCGGTAGACCCGGTTGAGGAGTCTTCTGACTCTGGTGGCCCTGCTGCGCAGTCCTCGCCTGCCGCCCCTCCCCCGCCGTCCCCTCCCCAGTCCCCTCCTCCACCGCCTCTGCCGCCACTGCAGCCGTCGTTGTCGCTGCCGCCGCCGCCTCCGCCGCCGTCGCAGCACCCGTTCGCTGACTCTGGGGGTGTTCGTCCCGGTCGCCCTGGGGGTGGTCCCTCTGGGGGTGCTGGTGTGGAGTGTGTCGGTGGTAGCCGAGGAGCAGCTTGCGGTCCAGGTGTCGCCGTTGTGCCGCCGCAGCAGCAGTCCCCGCCGGTGTCAGCCCTTCGCCTGCTCGGCCTTCCGTCCCCCGACCCTGCGTCTGTTCCTCTCCGACCGTCTCCTCCTCTTCCCGTCTACGGCCCTGTGTTCCCTCCGCCGGACTCGTCCCCGGCCCGTCTCCCCCCTCGTTCCCCTCCTGTGTCCCCTCCCCTGTCTCCTGACCCGACTCCTCCGTCGCACGTCTGGTCTCACCGTCCCTCCCGTGCTCGTCCTGCCTCGCCTGTCTTGCGCTCCCACCCTATGTTGCTTCGTTCCCACGCGTCTCGTCCTCCCCTTCTGCCGTCGCCTCCTCCGTCCTCCCTTGTTGTTGCCCCCCCCCCCGCTGTCTGACTACCTTCGTGCCGCTCGTCCTCTTGTTCCTCGGGTCCTTGTCTCTCTCGTTACCGACCCGTCTGTTCCGGTCTCGTGCCTTGACGCTCTTGTCGCTGCGATCGCTGACTTCGCCTCTACCCGCCGCCTTGACTACGCCACAGCTCTGGTCTCTGACCCTGCCTGTCCTCCGTCTGTCGGGGGTGCTCCTGCCCTTGGCAGTGACGTCCTAGAGGACCGCCAGTTCGAGCTTGCTTTCCTGTACGAGGCTTCTCCCCATCTCTGTTCCATGCTGCTAGTCCCTGAGGGTGACCCAGACGCTTTCGACATTCCGACCCCTCGCACTTACGCTGAGGCGACTTCGGGACCCTGGGCCTTGCAGTGGATAGCTGCCATGGAGCAGGAGATGGCATCTTGGAGATCCACCAGCACCTTCGTCGACGCAGTTCCCCCGCCTGGGGTGAACGTAGTCGATGGCCGCTGGCTCTTCAAGGTGAAGCGCCCTCCTGGAGAGCCGCCTGTGTTCAAGGCGAGCTATGTGGCTAGAGGCTTCAGTCAGCGTGAGGGGGTGGACTTCTTCCAGACCTTCGCTCCGACCCCGAAGATGACTACTCTTCGGGTTCTGTTACACCTAGCAGCTCAGCGTGACTACGAGCTTCACTCCCTCGACTTCTCCACTGCCTTCCTTCAGGGCAGCCTACACGAGCAGGTCTTCTTGCGTCGTCCTCAGGGCTTTACTGGCACCTTCCCTCCTAGGACCTAGTGGCTCCTGCGGCGCCCCGTCTACGGCCTGCGCCAGGCTCCCCGTGAGTGGCACGACACTCTCCGTGCTACGCTTGCTGACCTGCAGTTCTTTCCGTCTTCCGCAGACCCCTCACTCTTCGTTCGTGCTGGCCAGACTCCGTTCTACATCCTTGTTTACGTCGACGACCTGGTCTTTGCCACAGCAGACAGGGACGCACTGGCCTCCGTAAAGGCAGAGCTGCTGAAGAGACACACATGCACTGGCCTTGGAGAACTGCGCCGCTACCTTGGCTTGCAGATCTCCAGGGACAGAGCATCGCGCACCATCACCCTGACTCAGTCACACTTGGTGCGCCAGGTCCTTCAGAGGTTCAGCCTTCAGTTCTCCTCTGCACAGCCCACCCTTCTGCCTGTAGACCACAGACTCTCCGCTCCAGTGTCTGAGGAGTCGGTAGAGCCCAGCGGCCCCTACGCAGAGCTGGTGGGTTGCCTCATGTACCTGATGACTTGCACTCGCCCAGATCTCGCATACCCTCTCAGCATCCTGGCTCGCTTTGTGGCCACAGGCAGACACCGACCGCAGCACTGGTCTGCCGCTAAGAGGGTTCTGCATTATCTTGCTAGTACATCGGGCATGGGGTTAGTGCTAGGAGGACGCAGGTCAGTGGTCCTTACTGGACACACAGACGCTTTGTGGGCAGACGACGCTGAGACACTCAGGTCTACCCAGGGCTACTGCTTTAGCCTTGGCTCAGGTGCCGTCTCGTGGAGAGCTACCCGCTCCTCGTCTGTTGCCCAGTCCAGCTGTGAGGCTGAGATCTACGCTGGTGCCATGGCGGCACAGGAGCTCCGCTGGCTGACCTTCTTGCTCACTGACTTAGGTGAGCAGCCTAGCTCTGCCCCGGTCCTGTTCGCCGACAACAGGGCCATGATCCTCCTGTGTCAGGAGCCTCGACTCGAGGGCAGAGCGAAGCATATTCAGCTGCGGTACTTCCTCCTGCGCGAGCTACAGCAGCGACGTCAGGCTCGCGTAGTACACTTGGCCTCAGGTGCCAACACAGCTGATATCTTTACGAAGGCGCTTGCGCCTAAAGATCATCAGCGGCACTGTGTACAGCTTGGTCTAGTTCCTGTAGCCTCTCACTTGCTAGGGCCTTGACTTTGTACTGTCCTTTATATGTATACTCAGATTGGACTTGTGTCCTCTCCCAGTGGCTGGACTAGTAGTGCCGCCCTGGTCTTGTTCTCGCCTTGTCTGTACTCCTTCTGAGTGGTCTCTTAGACCCTTGTCTCAGAGGTTGGACTAGTAGTGCCGCCCTGAGCTGCTTGTTTAGGACATTCCCCTATGCAGTCTAGGGGGTGTGTCAAACATGTGTATTTGATATGTTTGCATAGACTGTATAGGGTCACCTCTTAGAGGGTTTAATACTTAGGTATATCTATCTGTACTCTCCCTCTACCTAATCATTCACTTCTCTCAGTTTGATACCTCCTTCCCCCCCTCACTTCGGCAGAGTAAAAATGAGCCGGGTTGAAAGTGGTTGGGGTTGCGCCAATGAACGTGGCAAGGCCGAAGGGGACGAATGCAAAACCAGGAGAGTGTTGCACGTGGTGGAGAGGAGCCTCGACAACATCTGGAGGCTTGACAGAGAATCGTGAAGTGACGGGCAGATAAATTTTTTGAGTCAGCAGGGCACGCAGCTGCTCACGTAGCTCGTGTAGGGTACTGTTCAACCCTTCTGCTTCATTGCATTGTTGAACGCGATGACGAGGGGTTTGGTAGCAGTTGATGCCCGTGCCTTGCTCGTAGACGTTGGAATTCGTAGTCTGGTAAGCGGCTTCTCTGTAGTGTAGGAAAGTTTGCAGCGCGGTACGGAGCTCGCTTGCTGCTATGGCCAGCCAAGCAAGAATCAAGAGCATGAAATATGAAGGTAGGAGAAACCTTGAGAGTGCATAACCTTTTTCTGAGATACTGGTAGTTGAAGAAGTATCTGAAGGCTTGTCGAGAGTAGTTGTCGCGTCGAAGAAATTTTCAGGTGCGAGTTGCAGAATTTCTTCGTATTCGTGGCTAATATCTCTCTTGATATTAACGGCAGGTGTGTCGGTAGTGCTGCTACTAGGAGTTTCTTCTTCGCTGCTGCTGAGTTCAATCGGTGGAACGGTTACCAAAGCGGCTGCTGCGATGATTGAAGGAGCTTGAGGGAGAGTGACATCTTCGGAAGATTTTGCTGCCTTGAAGCGTAACACGAATACGCCATTTTTTGTTGCTGCTCTTCCGATGTACGTGTTGTCCACATCATGTATTAACTCTTGCTCCTGTGTCGTGCAGTTTCCGACCATGCGGATTTTCTTCTTCAAGAGTTGAAGAGTTGACACTAAATTGAAGCCAAGATTGTCGACGAGTAAAACGCTGGTAAGGCATAAAGACTTTCCCGTATCGATTGATGTCAAAAGTAGACTGCCGATATTTTCTGCTGAAATTGTGGAAACCTGAGCACATAATTCTGTGGAAAGTCAAGGTTAATAATAGCATTACAAGGATTTATAGCTCTAGGAAAAGTACCTGTTCGCTAATGTACCTGTTTGTCACAATCGCGCTATGCGACCTATTCGTCATACTATAGGGTCGCGACTGTTCGCGTGACTGAAACGGTTCGTTACGCCTAATCGCGTAACTGAAGCGGTATGCTGACGTCATGCCGAGACCCGCGATGCTTTGCTGACATCAGCACTCGGGCATGGTTACTTACAGAGAAACTCGATACTGCTAACTACACTGAAAACGGAACTTGCAGGAATGCGAAACTTCATTTACCACAACAATAATAGGCTAGATTGGTGCATGCTCTTAGAGGGTTCAACCACTTCAACAAAATCAACCTGTATGCCTCATTCTAGTTAACTTTTCTACTCTGAGATGGTATCACGCGCTAGGTTAGGTCCTCCCTGACGACCTACGCTTTCGATCTCGTCCTAGTCCTAGCCGCCCGCTCCTATTCGCCCCTTCGCGCCCCGTCGGCCCCGTGCGCCCCCTTTGGCTCTGCTCGCCCTGCCGCCCTGCTAGCGCCCCGCCGGCCCGTTAACGCCCTGTCGGCCCCGTGCGCCCCTCTGGCCCTGCTCGCCTCCATGGCCCGTTAGCGCCATGCCGGCCCGTTAGCGCCTTGACGGCCCCGTTCGCGCCCCGTCGGCCTTGTGCACCCCTCTGGCCCCGCTTGCCCCACCGGCCCGTTAGCGCCCCGCCGGCCTGTTAGCGCCCCGCCGGCCCCGTTGGCGCCCTACCGGCCCCGCCTGCACTCCGTCGGCCCCGTGCGCCCCGTCGGCCCTCGCCAGACGGTCGCCCAGTCAGCCGGTTCCAGCCTCACCGGCACCCGCTTCAGCGGCCAGCCGTCGAACCGTCGAGTCCCAGCACCGATCCACCGGCTCTGGCTCCCTTCAGCGCTGGCTTCCCTGCCGGCTGTCTCCACCGCTCTCCACCGCATTCCACCGCACTCCACCGCACTCCACCACACTACACGACACTTCACCCCTCTTCACCGCTTCCTCCACCTGTCCTTCTCACTCTGTCAGCGGCCATCAGCAGCTGCAGCAGTGGCGATGGCGGAGTCACAGCTCCGACTGGACGCAGAGGGTCGGGCGCAGAGGCGTGGCTCGTCGACCTTCGGCATCACCTTACAGGTCAGCGCCAGGACGGTTACTCCCTGGCTGTTCATAACGATGGCCTGCTACCCCGCCCCCCTGCCCCTGCTGCCCTGCCTGATGCCCCCACCATTGCTGAGTGTGAGGCCGTTTCCGTTGCTGCGCTTGATCGTGGCGTCTAGGACTCGTGCGACGCTGTCGCCCAGCTTGCTATCAGCCGTGCGCTCCCGCCGTCTGAGCGTCTTCGCTTTACCACTGTAGCAAACGCCCAAGCCTTCTTCGATGCTATCATTGCGCGCAATTCCCCCACCGCCACTGCCTCTGCTGGTCGCCTGATCCTTCCCATGCTGTTCCCTGATCTTGCGTCCTTCCTCACTGTCGCCGACTTTGCCACACACCTCCGTGCGCTCGAGACAAGCTACCGCGCTGCTAGCTTTGAGGCACAGCTCACTGCATTCCCGCCGCCGTTCTGCGCTACCCTTTATCTCATCGTCACGCGCCTCCCTGACCGCCTAGCCACAGCCCACGACCACTTCCTAAGTCTGCACCCGGGTGACCTCACTCTCACCGCCTTTGTTACTGCCCTGTCTCAGATAGACCCGCCAGCGCAGTATCGCTCAGTCTAGCGGTACTGCGGCGGTACCTATCTTTTAGGGCTGTCCTCTCTCCCAATGCACTTACTCTGACGTCTCTGCTGCTATTGCTGAGACCGCTGCTGAGGCCTCAGCGCAAAAGCGTCCAGATAAGGGTCGCCGCCCTAAAGGGGGCCGTGGTGGGGGGAAGGGGGGTGGCGGTGGGGAGGGTGGCGGCAGTGAGGGCGGGGACAGTGGTTCAAACGAGGGGACCGGGGCTGGTGCCCCGGAGCAGCCACAGCAGAAGACGCAGCTTCAGCAGCAGCAGCAGCAGACTCAGCAGCCGCAGCCGCCGCCGCAGTCGTCGCAACAGCAGCAGTCGCCGTAGGGACCCCCGCCGCCGTGGTGGACTGGCGGCGCTTGCGGCGGTGGTCGTGGGGGGGGCGCGTGCAGCTCGGCAACGGGTGGCAACTCCAGCGCAGTCACCTGCCAGTACCAGCATCAGACTGGCCCTCGCCGCGGCAGTGTCTGGCTCCGGCCCGGCCACACCGCCGACCGCTGCTACCGCCGCCTGGATGACCTGTTCCGCCACCGCTTCAGTCCTGCGTGGGACTCTCTGGACTAGTATGCCCTGGCTCGCCGATGTGTGCCGGTCTTTGAGCTTGACATGGATCAAATTAGGAATGCTATGTCTGTCATGTATGCTGATGATTCTATTGTGATTGGACCCTATTACCCGGTGTTGCCTAGCGTAGGTGTGTCCACCGTGTGTAGTCTAGGCCCCCCTGCTGTGTCAGGCGTAGGACCCCCTGCCTTGTTTAGCCTAGGCTCCACACTAGCCCCTCTGGCAGTAGCCGCTAGCACTTTGCTCTCCTTCACACTCGACTCCGGTGCGTCTACTTGCTTCTTCCGCGACCACACTTCCCTTACGCCGCTTGACGCCCCTGCCACTGTCGCACTTGCAGAACCCTCCTCCGGTTCGGTAGTTGCACGTAGCTCCACCACCCTTCCCTGTCCGGCGGTCCCCTCGGGCACTCTTACACACCTGCACATCCCCTCGTTCTCTAGGAACCTAGTTGGTGTCTGCTGTCTTCAGGACCTCGGTGTCACCACTACGTTCCCCGGACACGAGCGGTATGCGGTCTGCTCCGAGACCGCCACTGGTGCTCCTCTGACCACGTTCCCCGGGGACCTTATGTCCGGCCTGTTTACGCTTGACACTGCTTTCCCCCCGGTGCGGGTGTCCCCCCAAATCGCTGCGGCTTGCTCGTGGCGATCGCTCACTCACCCGTCGCTGCTGTGGCACCACCGCCTAGGTCACCCTACACTCCCGCGTCTGCGTCACATGTCCCAGCACGGTCTTGTCCTAGGTCTCCCTTCGTCGCTTCCTACCTTCCCTCCCTCCCCTGCGCCGCCATGCATGCCCTGCGTCAAGGGCTGGCTGTGCCGTGCTCCTCACTCCTCCTCGCTTCGCCCTCCCACCGCGCCACTCCAGACCCTGCACTGGGACGTCTGGGGTCCAGCCCCCGTCCCTGGGCCGCGTCGAGAGCGCTACTTCCTCGTGCTTGTCGACGACTACACGCGCTACACCATGGTGTTTCCTCTGGAGCAGAAGGCCGACGTGCCTGACGTTCTTATTCCATGGGCCATAGCTGCACGAGTCCGCCGAGGTCTCCTCTTGATGTGTCTCCACTCTGACCGTGGCGGCGAGTTTGCCTCAGGTCGGTTTGGCCGGTTCTGTCGTGTGGAGGGCATCACCCAGTTGTACACCCTGCCGGACTCCCCACAGCGGAATGGGGTCACTGAGCGACGCATCGGCTTGGTCATGGAGGTGGGTCGTACCTCCATGATCCATGCCGGTGCACCCCATTTTCTGTGGCCGTTCGCTGTGCGCTACTCCGCTCACAAGCTGAACCTGTGGCCCCACTCCCAGCGGCTGCAGGTTTCTCCGACCCTCCTCTTGACCGGGTCTCCTGGTGACGCGTCTGTGTTCCACATCTGGGGATGCCTCGCTCACGTTCGTGCCTCTGGCACGGACAAGCTCACTGCCCGCACTGTCCCCTGTGTCTTCCTCGGTTTCCCCCTTGACTCGTCTGACTGGCACTTTTACCACCCGCTGTCTCACCGCTTCCTTCACTCGCGTGACGTCACTTTCTACGAGTCTGTCTTCTTTTACGATCGCTTTCCCCACCGAGGTCTCCCAATTTCCCCACCCCTATTTCTGGTTCCCACTCCCCTGGTAGCCCCTGCTCCCCTCCTTCCCCGACCTGCTCCGTCTGGAGTGTCTCACATCACTCCCCTCCCGTCGCTTGTCCCGGTCGAGGAGTCAGCTGACTCTGGTGGCCCCGCGGCGCTGTTCTTGCTGCCTGCCTCTCCTCTGGTGTCCCCTCCCCCATCGTCGCAGTTGCCACCGCAACCGTCGTCGCAGCCGCAACAGCAGCAGTCGCCGCCGCCGTCGCAGCAGCAGCCGTCGTTCATGGACTCTGGGGGTGCTGGCGTTGAATAGGGTGCTAGTCCTGGGGTTCTTGTTGTGGCTTGTTCCGGCGGGCTCGGGGGTGTCGCCGGTGCTGGAGGGGGTTCTCGCTCTGGGGGTGCTTGCTCTGGGGGTGCTGGATTGGAGTGTTCCGGAGGTAGTCATGGTGCAGCTGGCGGTCCAGGTGTCGGCGTCGAGCAGAAGCAGTAGCAGTCGCCACCTGTGTCCGCCTTCGCTTGCTCAGCCTTCCCTCCCTTGACCGCTCGCCTGCGCCTCCCCCGCCGTCTCCTCCCCTTCCTGTCCACAGTCCTGTGTTTCCTCCACCAGAATCGTCCCCGGCCCGTTTCCCTCCTCGTTCCCCCCTTGTGTCTCCTCCAATGTCTCTTGACCCGACGCCTCCGTCTCACGTGTGGTCTTGCCGTCCCTCTCGTGCTCGTCCAGTCTCTCCTGTTCAACGTTCTCACCCTATGTTGCTTCGTTCCCACGCATCTCGTCCTCCCCTCCTCCCGTCTCCTCCTCCGTCGTCGCTCGCTGTCGCGCCTCCCCCTCTGTCTAAATACCTTCGTGCTGCTCATCCTCTTGTTCCTCAGGTCATTGCCTCCCTCGTTACCAACCCGTCTGTTCCTGTCTCAAGTCTTGACGCTCTTATCGCTGCTGTCGCTGACTTCGCCTCTACCCGCTGCCTTGACTACACCATAGCTCTGGTCTCTGGCCGTTCCTGCCCTCCGTCCGTCGGGGGTGCTCCTGCCCTTGGCAGTGTCGTCCTAGAGGACAGAAAGTACGAGTTTGCTTTCTTGTAC